TTATCAGTTTCATAGTTTATGTGAAAGATCGGTGTATACATGCATACATATGTACATACGTACAGCCCAAATTCTCAACTTTTTTGATGAAATGAATAACATCGATATTTTGTAGAATGTATTCCTCTAATCCAGTTTGATGCAAGTTATAGCAACAGCCATTGTTGTCAAAAATATTACCTATTGTTTCAACAACACCAGGGTACTACATGTTAACTAAACATGAGCGAACGCCTTTGTCGAGTTCCCCGACTATCAAATACCCGTTACTCAGCTGGTGGGAGTGTGATAGAGAAATTTCAAAAATGGATTGGCATACTAATTTTTGAAACTTTAACTTTTTTTATTTCCTTTTTTCACAAGCTGAGTTAAGGGTATCTGATAGTCGGGGAACTCGATTTTGAGATGATAATGTTGTAGAAATTCAAAAAAATTAAAATATGTCCCAAGGCTGAAGTTCTAAACTCCATAACTCAACTTATCTTAATCGGATTTTTAAGTGGCATACCTCGAAATGTTTCTGGCGCAATTATCTAAAAATCTTCATTTAAATTTCTGATGTTGTATGACATCATGTTGTATGCATTCAAATTTATAAATTTATTTTACAGTGCCTGAGATATCGAAGACCAGTTCGAATCGGCTATCAATAATATATGTATATACTTTATGTGATCGGAATCGCTTCCTTCTGTCTGTAACATACTTTTCAACGAATCTGTACACCCATTTAATTTACGATTAGCGGGTATCAAATGTGCGCACCTACACATTATTATGATTTATATACTTTCGAGCCTCTTCCGCTGTCGGCTTTCATGTTGACATAAACTATTTATAAAATAGAAATGGAAATGCTAATAGTGAATAATATAATAATCAGCAAACATTTTGTTACCTATTGAGTGCAATTGTTTCTGCGGCACAAAGTAATTTATATATTTTAAACTCCCAGTGCTCGCTGCGATGCGATTTTTTCCAATTGATAACACATTACCGAAGGCCTCCAGAGTCCGATACGTATACATAATGCTGCGTGTACGTAACGCAGAATCCCGAAGAGAATCTCGGGTGCAACCGGGAGTCTCATGTTTTGCCGGTCAATTTAAGTGATACTCTTGCCAACAACACACATGCTCCCGTGCAAATAAGTATAATGTAAATAATAAGAAGAGAAGTGCAGAGAGCCGACCGCGACTGCGACTGCGACTGCGACTGCGACCGCAGTCAGTCAGTGCGATTGTGGACATTGGCGGCAAAGGTTGTGCGCATTTAGACCGCTGAAACATGTGGAAACTGATCGCTGTTTAAGTTCTATTAAATTCTAAACACAATTAACCATTAGCTGGCGGAAAGTGCTGATAAAAGTCTGGCCAAGCTCGGATACAATTGTGGTGGTGGCAGGGTTAAAAGCTGCAATTTTAATAGGCACTTTTTTGCATGCTTTTGCTTTGATTAAAGTGCAATTTGATATTATTTCCAATGCAACTATAGAAAAGTCCAGATCCATAAATAGTACCATTTTGAGATCGCACTACAAAAGTACACACATATATTTTGCTATGTGTTTTTTTTCACATACTTGTAGATTTATTAAAGGATAATCATTTAAATTACACTTGTTCCTAGGCGGGCCATAAATTATACCATTATTTGTGTTTGTTTTTCTTTCCACAAGTTGGATGCCTGGCCTTTCCCAAATTTTTGCAAATAAATTTTGAAATAATATTCAGACATTCCATGGATGGGTGAAAAAACAACTTCAAGCCGAATTTCATTCCCCGCGTGAACAGAATTTCTGTGTGGCTCACTGATTTTTGGATGACCCAAGCAGTCAGGCTCCAGGTGATATTTTTGTGCTTTGTAAGCAAATTAATTAGCCACTCCGCACGAGTAAATTGTATTGTTATTTTGGCACTCGGTCTGCTTTGATTCTGTGGCACTTTTGAATAGATCATTTTGTACACTAGCGGCGCTGAGTAAACATGATGTTTATCATTTGCGGACTTTAAAGATATGCACGTTTCTGTAGAAACTTATTTGCAGATAGTCTGCTGTTGCGAAAAACTTGAAATTTAATTAATTTCTGTGCTTTGTTTTCACAGCGTGTTTGTAGCCTTCTGCTAGCAGCTCAATCAATTTGATAAATTGTAATTCACTAAGTTAATGATATCGCTGTCTGCAAAGCTTTGTAGTTTCTGTTGTAAAGCAATTTAAGTTTATGCGACCATAAAGATTGTCGCAAAACACTTGTCAACTGCTTTTGGATTTCCTTGATATAAGCTATTCGCTGAGCAATAATGAAAATCTCAACTGTCATTCCCAATTGGCTAGAAGATGCAGTCACGCTGGCTTTTCGGGCTCTTCGCGGTTCTCCTGGCCCATGGGAGCCAGGCCAATCCAATTTTAAGCCCTCCCAAAGTGGCCACCGAGTTTATCATCCTACACAATAATGATATGCATGCCCGATTCGATCAGACGAGCGTTAATAGTGGCACCTGCCCTCCGGAGGATGCACATACGAATAAATGCTATGGAGGATTCGCCCGGGTGGCCCACGAGTGAGTTATCTATGCGCAGTATAGAGCGTACTATTTTAATCAACCCTTTCCAGAGTTCGAATGTATCGGAAGGAGGCTCAGGAGGGGGGTACTTCCGTGTTGTACCTTAATGCTGGTGATACCTACACTGGAACTGCTTGGTTTACTATTTTCAAGGACAAAATCGCCAGTGCGTTCCTCAACAAATTGAAACCCGATGCTATAGTTTGTGTTTTCCTGCATTTCTCCGACAAAACATCTTCAGTCCTACTTTATTTTTAGTCCTTGGGCAATCATGAGTTCGATGAGAGAGTAGAGGGCCTGATACCCTTTCTTAACGATGTCACCTTTCCTGTGCTGGCCTGCAATCTGGACCTTAGCAAGGTGCCCCAACTGGAGGCCACCAAGCACTTGGCTCACTCCGCCATCCTGGAGGCCAATGGCACTAGTATCGGTGTCATAGGTTATTTGACACCGGATACCAAAAAGCTGACATTGAACATGGATGTGGAATTTAACGAGGAGGTGGAGTCCATTAAGTGAGTGGGAGAAACATCGAGATCAACCGAACCTAATTTCGAAAATATTCCTTCAAAGTATCGAGGCAAAGAAACTAAAGGCACAGGGTATTAAAATCATCATCGCTCTTGGCCATTCGGGTTACTTGAAGGACCTGGAGATAGCCAAGAGCTGTCCGGACGTGGACATCGTCATCGGTGGCCATACAAACACATTCCTCTACACCGGTGCCCAGCCGGATGCGGAGCACATAGACGGACCCTATCCAACAATGGTCAAGCAGCACAGTGGCAAGGAGGTTCCCGTGGTGCAAGCCTATGCGTACACCAAGTATCTTGGAAAACTTCATGTACAGGTAAGTGCAAAATGTACCTAAGTAATAAATGATATGATATGTATCCTAACTTGTATCTCCAGTTCGATGCCAATGGCAACCTCCTCAAGTGGGATGGGTCTCCCATCCTGCTCAATGCTTCAGTGGCTCAGGACCAGGACCTTCTGGATCTGTTGGAGGTCTTTCGCCCGAATGTCACCATGCTGGAGAAGTCGGTCGTGGGGAAAACCAAGGTTTATCTGGAGGGAAGCAAGGCGGTTTGTCGGGCTGAGGAGTGCAACCTGGGCAATCTGATAGCCGATGCAATGGTGGCTACTCGGCTGCTGGAGGATGAGGGCGGTTATTTCTGGACAGATGCGGCCATTGCTCTCATGCAGGGTGGAGGTTAGTCGGATGCACCTGGTCTGTTTGTTGGTGACAAATAAGCAACATTTGAATTCACTAGGCATTCGTAGCTCGATTGAGAAGCGATCGGATGGCGACATCTCCATCAACGACCTCCTCTCCGTTCTGCCGTGGCGTAATAAGCTCTATCTGGTGCCCATGCCGGGCAGCTCTATTCGTCGAGCTTTAGAGCGTGCAGCTGCCCTGCGGGGCAAGGATTCGGACGGTGGCTTCCTGCAGGTGTCCGGTATCCATGTGGTCTTCAATGCCCACAAGCCCGAGGGTCAGCGAGTGGTGTCCGTGCAGGTGCGATGCGCCGCCTGCAGAGTGCCCACCTATAGCGATCTGAACGACACTGCCGTCTACAATGTCATCCTGGGAGAGTTCCTGCTGGATGGTGGCGATGGACACGTATTCAGGCACCCGGCCCACCAGCCACAACGCCTGCAAAATAACGATATCGAGGCGCTAAAACAATATCTCGGGCGTCGGGACTACGTCTATCCCGAGATCGAGGGTCGCATTGTTTTCATAAACTCATCCAGTGCAGCACTCATGGGCTCGGCAGCCCTGCTGCTCATCTCTTCCCTTCTCATCAAAATGATTACTTAAAGTAAAGATACAATGGAAGGTATTCGCTTCAAGCAAGCTGAAAAGATTATTACCATTAGTGCGATAATTCTTTTTAAGTGCGATAATTATTACGACAATTCTAAGTCTCAACAAAATTCTTTAAGGCGATAAAGGTGCTTTCATTTACTCCGTATGCCTTGTTAAATAAAAATATATTTTGTCTTTTGCATTGCATACTTTTAGGCAGACAACAATAACTAATAAAACTAGTTTTTGTTGCCTGGGACATTTCTCTAAGCGATGTTGGAATTTTACAGAATAATTTGACAGTAGAATAAAGTCAGCCCCTGACTTAAATAGTATTTTGTAAGAAAGTTAGTTAAAAGTTAGAAATTAAATTACATCGTTTTTAGTGTGACCGATTTCGACGGGCTTAAATTCAAATTTTACAGCGGCAACAAATAATATTTTAAGTTAACGTCTGGATAACTTTTATGAGCAAGAAATCCAATAATCTTACTGTCCATAAAAAAAACCGATAAAAATTGCTGTAAATAATATGAATAATTGAAAACACAATACAAATTCAAATTATGACGTTGGTTTAATGATATAGGAACTACTTGTTAGCACATCCTAAAAGTAGGCATTTCAAAAAGGCAGATCACAGTTTTCATGTGCTTCTCGGTCACTTTTATTCATTTGCTTGTAGTTTCAGTAACGATGCGTGCACCTACTCCGCAGTGGAGGGGTTTCCTCTCGCTGATCCTATTCTTTCTGGACGGGATCAGTGGCTTCAAGTTTACCCTATTACACACGAATGACATGCACTCCTGGTTCGACCCCATTTCCGGTAAGGATGGAAAGTGCAAAACTGGCGACGATGAGAGGGGTCTTTGCTTTGGCGGATTTGGACGAGTGGCTGCTGTGTAAGTATTCCTGACGTTGGAGTAATCCTAATGGCAACAGTGTCAAGTTATCCATTTCAGGGTGGCGGCAGCTAGAAGTTCTGGAGGTGATCCAGTTGTCTACTTGAACGGTGGCGATACTTTTCAAGGCACTTCGTGGTTTTCGATTTATCGAGGGAAAATGGTGGCGCGAATGCTAAATTTTCTGGCTCCCGACGCCATGGTACTTATTGCCTAATTGCTTGTAAAATCTATTCGCAATGATCACTCCGCAGACCCTCGGAGTTCACGAACTTGACGATGGAACAGACGCCTTGGCCGAGTTTTTGGATAACATTACCTTTCCGGTGGTCAGCAGCAATATAAACCTGAAAAATGAACCAAAACTTGCCGATAACAATAAGTTAGTGACTTCCTCGGTTATCACAAAGGGTAATCGTAGGATCGGCATAGTGGGCTATATACGGCCGGATACCAAGGAGCGAACTCAGCCGAGTAATGTGATGTTTAAGCAGGAGGTGCCCGCCATCAAGTAAACACATTTGCACTACCTGTGTAATAAGTAATTTATAAGTTGCATCCTAGCAAGGAAACAAAGAAACTGAGGGATCAAGGCATCGATATCATTATTGCGTTGGGACACTCCGGCTACGAGAAGGATAAGGAGATAGCCAGGCGATGTCCGGACGTAGATATCGTCGTGGGTGGTCAGTCGCACACGTTTCTCTACTCCGGAAGGGCTCCGAGCAAGGAAATCCCGGAGGGTCCCTATCCCACGATAGCGGTGAAGCCCGATGGCAGGAAGGTGCCCGTTGTTCAGGCCTATGCTTATACGAAGTATTTGGGCAACCTTTCCCTAGAAGTGCGATCTAAAGTCTTAAGTGTATCCTACAAATCGACTAAGATTCCATTTTTCAGTTCGACAATGGCGGCAATCTGCTCAGTTTCAAGGGTCGCCCCATATTATTGGATAAGCGCTTCCAGCCCAGCCGAGCTGTTCAAGATTTTCTTCAGCTGTACCGCCAGGTGATCGATGACATGGAGCGCCATGTGGTGGGCACCACCTCCGTTTATCTGAATGGCGATCCCAAGAGCTGCGGTTACGGCGAGTGTAACTTCGGCAACTTCATCGCAGATAGCTTTGTGTATGCCCGAGTTGTGCAAACGATGGCGGATAGAAGATCTTGGACGGATGCTTCCATAGGACTCATCAACGCGGGCGGTAGGTGATTACGTCTAGCTTCCGCAATATAACAATTGGCATAACTGGAAACACCTAGCCATTAGAGCCTCGATTGAACCCGGGGAAACGGGCGCCATCACGGAGGCTGACGTGGTCACAGTGCTTCCCTTCAGCCAAGAGCTGTTTTACACGAGGATTAGCGGCAGACAGCTGATGAAGGCGCTGGAGCACTCTGCCCATATGCGGAGCAAGCACATGACCAGTGCCCATTTGCAGGTCTCGGGCCTTCGGCTCAAGTTCAACCACAGCTTGGCCAAGGGCGAAAGGATCACAGAAATCCGGGCGCTGTGCTCGGAGTGCCAGATTCCACACTATGAGGCTCTTGATGCGGACAAGTACTACGGTGTGGTAATCCCCTCATTCCTATTGAACGGCGGCGACGGCTACAGTTTCATCGACAAAAATCGACCGGAAGTGGAAAATATGACCATCCTTGATCGCATGGCTGTCATCCAGTATCTCCAGGAGCACAAGGTTATCTATCCAGAACGGGAGGATCGCCAAGCTGTGCAGCAGAAGCACCTTGCCAACTCGGGCTATCACCTGTCAGTTGAACTCCCCTTGATACTCTGCTTTTTGTGCTTTTGTCATCGATGTCTCGTTTAAGTGCCAGTCTCCATGGGGCATCATTATCATTAGTACTCGCTCTCTGTTTTTGTCTATTGCGCAATCGCTTAGAACACAGATTAGTGACTAAGTCTGTTGTGAACAAGTATGCATATATATAAGCACAGGTGTCGCAAGTTTGATTATATATGCACGTACATATAGGAAGAATCTAGATTATACTGTTTGCAGTCTTTGCGCTTAATATATTTTTTATTGGTTGTATTCCCTTTAGCAATATATTCTTGATAACGATCATAAGTCCATATAGATGCTAAAACTGCCTCTCTGTCCGTATGTCCATATGTCCGTATGTCCGTATGTCCGTAGCTCGTAGAACTAGTTCGTAATATTTAAGTGTTATTAAACCACGAAGAATTCTTTAAAATTATGGAACATTCTGAGCCATAGCATGCTCTTCTGAATTTTATGCGTGATTCGCTCAAATAAATGTTCTAAGACTTGGCCCAAACAAATGCAAGCTCTTAAGATGTTAAAGGCACATCGTGCGCTCCCCCAACTATATTTCTGACTTTGACTGATCAGCGAGTGCCTCGACTATATTCATATTACCAGGTGCTACCAGCATGACTCCTCCACTTCTGCGGCTGCCCGTAATTGACTGCCAAATGAAGGCTACCAATCGGCATTCGTATCTGTATCTGTGGCTCGGTCTCGGTCTCGGTCTCGGTTGTTGGGTCTTGGATCTTTGGACCAGAGTCTCCGGGCTCCCGACCCTGTCTTTATTGCTGGCGGTTCTGGTCTCGTTCTCGGGTGTCTTCTGCTGGTGCTAAGCACTATTAAATTCCCCATGGTTAGGCTTTTCATGAGAAGTTCACGGCGCACCGACCCCGCCGACCTCTGCCCACATAATAGTCATCAAGCTCGTGTTCGCCGCCCCTGCAGCGCCCCTTCTCCTCGCTGCCCCTTGATCCTCCTCGGCATCCAGGCTGTGCCTCCAATGTCTGCTACTGGCGGCGTGTTCCAGCTTCACATTCAGCTCCATCTCCGTCTCCGTCTCCGGCAGCCACTGCAGCTCCAGAGTTCTTCTGTCGTGAGAAGCACATACACATCATGGGCACACACACTGCATCCACATCCATGTCCAACTCGATCGTAGGCGACACAAACACTATCTACTGGCGGCATTTCGCCATGGAATTGCGTGCACCGAGGAAAAATGGTTGACCAATTATGCACATATCCTAAAACTGGAACAGGAGTCGAATTCAAATTCAAAGAACTCTTTGTTCACGACAGGACACTTTATTTATCGGTGTATATAGAAGGTGAACTCAAATGGCATAGTAGTATTTTCACAGTTTTTCTCACTGCTGGCGAAGAGGGCGAGAAGGGTGGGAAATGGGGGCGGGTCAGCGGGAGCCGGCATGTAATTATGTGGCCCCATATACCGCGTCCGCTTCTCGGACAGCGGTCAAGTGCAGAATCGGGCACTTTGGAGCGGCAACACGCTACAGTCGGCACCTGGTACTCGCCTATCAGTCATTCGGTTAGTCATGGCTCAGAGGGGTTCTTGAACCCGAGTGTATACACCCATACGTACATCCACATCCACGCCCACACTAGCCACATCCACATCCACACCCGCATAAAGGTTGGCAGTGGCATTTCAATTTCGCAAATGAACCCCGCTGCCCGTTCTAACTTGGCTATAATCTCGGCCGGGCCGATGTGTCTGCACAGAAAAGTCTACTTCCGTCTTCTTTCATTTCTATTTGATTCCCTTCATTAAGAATGCTTCTTGGTTTCCTGCTTGGTTCCCGGCCGCTCCACTCCTCCTCCTCCTCCGCCGTTTAAGTTGGAACCGTTTAGGTCTAATGGCCGTATTAGCGACATGAGAATAGAAGATCGCGCGCCATTTGCTCGGGCATTACCGGCAATCCGAGTATCTGGGCATCTGTTCCATATCGAATTGAGACATGGACATGATTGTGTTCCATGGACGTGATGTGTGTGTGAAACTGGAAGCAGATCATGCATGGGTCAATGAGTTGCGCGACTCACAAATTAGTGGAAATCATCGGAGACCCCGCACCGAAAACGCCAAGAGATGTGATTTTCGTGTTGATGCGGTTAGGTTGCCATTGTTGCCAGTTATTCCTGTTGTTGTGCTGGTCGTGATTTTGTTGCCCGGTTCGCCAGAAACGTTGAATTGGCTTCACCTTTTGACATGGAATTTGAAATGACGTGAAGCAACAGCCGAAGGAAGAGCAGCTCCTCCCCCACTACCTTCTCCATGGACTCCTTCTGTGTCCCCAATCCAGCCTCCTCCACTTTGATTGCCAGTTAGCCATCCCAGCCATCCAGCCATCTCAGCCATCTTAGCCATCCCAGTTGTAACCCCATCCTCCGGCAAACGCTCATTTGGTTTCGTTTCTCGTTTCGATTCAGCTTCATTGCTCTGCGATCGAAATTATTTACCGTTGATATGGTTATGGTCAAGGCGAATGGACAAGAATCCGACAAAGCAGGCCAATTACGATTTCCTGGAGGTGGGAGGATCATTGGGTTACCTTGCTTCCACTTCGATATGGACCGAAATATGATTCAAAAGTCATGGGGAAATTTATAATTGTGTGGGAAGTAACGAATCATGACCGAAAGGCCTAGAAATTTGAATCATTCCCGCAGTTTCGAATTCATTTAGAAGTGCAACTACTTAAAATGTAACTTGATTGAATCCGTAATATCTTTTTCGATTTCCTGAGGTCATACCAGTCTTGTATGCCCCATCCTCGCCATAAAGTTGCAAACGAAAAGAAATGGCATTCATTTGTGAATATTTTAATAAGTTTATTATAAATGCACATGAGTCATGGCAGAAACTACAAGGAGGAGTGGGATTCGGACATGAATTTATTTATGCATGAACGGATCGCATCGGATGGGCTGGAATGGTATGGGATGATCTAGGATCGGGACGGAACCGAATGGATTGGATGGTATGGATTGGATGGTATGGGTCCTGATCGGTTTGCTGGTCATGTTCCTGTGATTTTGTGGGCTGGGCCCTCACGACAGTTGCCATGCTGGCGATGTGTGTGTGTGTTTGTGTGCTATGTGACCTCCGATGCAAATGCTGATGACCTTCGTACCGCCAAGGACACACACACAAAAGCACAGATACTTTGACTATCCGATCAGAAAGATATTCTAATTAGAATGCAGGCAAGTGGAAACTTGTGATGTCCGCCTCAAGAGAATATCTTAGCGTCATTTCTTAAGCCGCAGCAACCCGACTCACATTAATCCTTTGATCCCAGCGGAAAAAGTGTGTATTAGTGCTTCATCTCTGCTTTCAAACTCCTTGTTGTGCACCTCCACACAGAGAAAATGCGCTGAAATTCTTATTTAAACAATATGTATATTATTCTGCCTTATTTTCTGGCAATGTTGAAGGATGTTCAAGAAAAGTTACAACATAGGATCATCGTGTATGCATTTTTACGTCCTTAACGCCCTTTTCTATAAATCATATCAGATCCATTATCCAGTTTTCTTTCTGTACACTTTAAGCTAGATGCCATGTCCATGTCGTCATCATCAGCATCATCGCTAAACTTGACGCTAAAATGGATGTGGATACACAGGAGCAACACACACACACATACACACACACTCGCACACCCTAACACACACTCGCAGACATGGGAGCAAAGGGGACGAAAGGAGTGGCGCAGGAGAGGAAAGCCAAAGAGGCAACCAAAGTCCGTTGGCAAAAGCCAAAGTCGAGGATTTCTACCAAAAGGCGAATTAAATTCCTCAATCTGGTGCCGAGTTTATTTTTAGACCAAAAACAAAAAGCAACAGCAACAAGAAGAGCAACTAGCAATGAAATGGGAACAGGAGGTGGGGCAGGAAGAGGAAGAGTAGGGGGAGGCAGGCAGAAGCAGATGGAGAAGAAGAAGACGACAGCGATCATGCGAGGAGCGCAGATACACCGCAAAAAAAAAGAAAAAATCCAGTTGATTAATGAGTTGTCCATTTGAAATAGTAAGTATACAATGGAGGTGCATTAGTTGAGTGACCGATTGTTCAACAAATGATTTAAAAGAATTCACTTAGTTACGTGTGACGTTTCGCGCAGTGTACTTCCTCGCACAAATACAAATGGTGAGGATCAGAAGATCAGGCTGAGAAGAAGAAGCAGCGGCGGCCGCGAGTATAGATGGATGAATGCTGTTAAAGACGAAGGCCATCCAGCAAGCGGCCCCTTGCCACACCCCCTGCGCCACCGCCTACTTGTGGAAAATCCAGATTGCAAGGAGTCCAGCCAACAGCCAGCAGTCGCATCGGTCACATTAAGAAGCTCCACTGTGCGTCGCAGTCGACGGCGTCCACCCGGCGGCGGTTTTAGCAACAAAAAATAAAGAAACAAAATAAAAGCCAAACAAAACGAAGGGCCAAAATCTTGGTGCGCTGTACTCGCGATAGAATTTCCGATTGCAATGGGCACGCACAGGTTTCTTGGCCACCAATCCACAGTTGCACCACCCAATCCACAGCACCACTGAGCCACCGAACCACCGACCTGCACATCCACATCCACATCCACATCCTCATCCTCTGTCGTCCAACTGGGAAATTGCGGGCAATTCATTTCCCATGACTGCTAATCACTTGGCCATTATTTTGTTTAGCCGAACGCGTACATAATTATAGCCTACAAGCGTCGATCGGCCGATGTGACCAATGGGATTAACTATTGCTTAAGCTAGAATTAAACCAGAATCAAATAAGAATGATGGCTGGAGTCGTTGAAGTGGGGATAAATTATCCATACCTACAAGATATTTATGCACAAACAAAAAAGCATCCCGTTTCCAAATTACCATCCAGTTATACTCAGCCACTGACCCACATATCTGTGTTCTATCTACAAAAATCGAGATCATACACAATGGAATAATAATACACATTAATAAACAATAAATTAACACAACGATCTTTTTTGTGATGATATAAGTTCCTTTTTCGATTCTTCAGCGTGCTGAGTTCAAACTTTCCAAATTGGTGGCTAATTTTCTCTAAGCCACTTAAAGCTCTTGGTTATTAATAATCATTAAACCAATATTTATCCTTCCCCATGTTCTAAGACCCATTAGAAAGCTGCGAGCCAGAAGCCAATGGCACTGGAAG